GTTTCCTGGTTGCAGCGTTGTCTCTTTCAACACAGGGTAGTAATTATTGTTTTTCATACTTCGTTTAGCGGTCTTAAGCTGTTGTTGATTCATGTTACGCGATTTGATTATACCCCAGATTCAGGCTATGAATGTCCATCGAATTCCCTAATGCATGAATTTTCGCTTCCCAATTCAGGTCAGTTTGGTGCCCAGATTCGTCGCGTCAATGTGCGAAGCTGTCAACTCTAATCTGGCGAATTCCGTCGTTACAGGATCTAGTCCTGAATCCAGTAACTCACCGTCCCAGGAGGCCGCCGAGTTTCTGCTACTCTGTTGCAATTTGATTTCAGTAGGTCTCATCCTGTTTTCCCATCCATCTCTGAATAAATGATAGCACCGTATGCATGGAGACAATGTACCTATCGTATATAGATTTGTCTCAGTTTTACGTCAAATCATGGGTTTTTGTATCATCAATAAAATCAGCTCTTTCATTGATTGCTTTTTGTATTCGAACCACCCTTATTTATTATCGGACTAGCGTTCGCAATCTAAAAAATATCACTCAGCATCATAGTTCGAAGATTTCCAAACGGCGGTTAGGTGTACCGTTCTCAATGTTCAAATATAGCAACAAATTTCCTTCTCTTCACCTAAGACGTGAGAATAGCACCCGATGAGTCTATAAGTCCATTGTTAGACAATATTAATAAACTTTGTTCTTACAGGTCAGAAAAATTCATTTCCATTGCAGTCCACTTTCTTTCACTGATCGTTTTGCCACAATGTTTCCAGTTTTCTGGAAAAATGAATCTCGAACTGTAGTTGTGTGGGGGAAATTTTGCTAAATTTTTACTCTTCGTTTATCTCTCTCCGTCGATCTTCCTAAGGCTGGATTCACTGAGATGATGCGTTATCGTACTCGTCAGCTGCAATCGATTGAAACTGCTCTGTCGGACTCAACTGTGCATGCCTCTTTGGAAAAAAATGCACACTTTTTAGCTTGTTGGTTGACGGATACTCATCCTTTCGGAATCGGAGATGTGCTACTCCAGTTCTTGGAAAATCTCATTTCCTTGGGGTCCGGCGAAATGTGTCCCGAATCACTGGGGTCGACCTATGCCGATACTACACAACTGGCCAAGGATGCCACGACCAGAGCTGTCGAGTGGGTGGAGATTCTCCTGACCATTGCACAACAACGAATCCGGTGGGCCACAGTTCATGCCACATGGGCTTGGTCTCAATCGTCCA